CGGGGTGAGGCGGGGCTGGTCTTAGCCACAGGCACCCCTTCAAGCAACTAGGAGTCGGTAACGTGTTTGGGAAGAAAAGTACAGATGAAATTAATGACTTCATTAACGAGAAGATGAATCACACACTTTGTAGTCAGAGATGCTGCAGAAGAGCATGCAGATGCTTCATGCAGTGGGCCAGAGCATCCACTAGAGCCCAAAAAAAGGTCTCTGTACTGAGTAAAGAGCCACTAACAGGAGCCAGCAGAAAGCCTGGGGCTGCAGCCTCTTCAGGCTGTCAGTTCCTTTACTGTGAGCTGCTACAGAAAGGTTCCCTGCAGCCAAAAGCTCACCCGTGAAACCTCGTCCAAAAATAAGACTTGTGGGTATCATCTACTAATGCCTGAATTTGCAGTCAAAGGTGACATACCTAAAGGTTTTTAAGTCTCAGTGGCTAAAGAGGCTAATAAAACGTGGGAGAGTCAGTAGGCATTAGCTAGCTAGACTTTTTGTGGTGCTATTTTTAAGCAACCAAACCTTACCAATATTTCTGCGGAGGCTCAGCACCATATAGACAAGTAAGTCTCCCTTGCAGCTTCTCTGGATGATGACTAACCAATGCTAACTGCAACCTGGTGGCGTGATAAGCTTATGAATTATGATATATTTGGACCTCTGTGTTAGCTTTACTTCCCAGGAGCTAGACTGGCAGCCCAAAGGAGTTCAGCAGCTTCGACAACCCATGAAGACTCAGGGATGAGCCCTGTGACCAGCCGAAGACACTGCCTTCAGCAGCAAGGCACACGGCCACCCACTTGGGATGTGCGCAAAGGGCTCAGCAGTGCACTTGAAGCTCGCTGGAGGAGGCCATCGCTTCTAGGAGCAGGGAAACGGTAGGGGCAGCAGCACTTGGTGCCTCGGCACATCAGTGCACATAGCTTAAAGAGCAGCTCACGAGCTCATCCAGGGTTCCCTCCCCCCCCCGCCCACCCTGGAGGCAGCAGCTGTTGCTGGTCATGGGTGGGAGCAGAGCTCAGACTAGTTTGTCAGCTTTGCACTGGAGCTGCTGGACAGCTGCAAGCTGCAGCAACTTGGCTAGTGAAAGGATGTGAGCAGAGGAAGGAGATGGAGTTTGTGCTGAGCACTGCTCATGCCTCCCGCTTCAGCTGAGCCTGGGCTGGGCAGAGCCAACCTAAGCCACTCACAGGCAGCCCCATTTCCACAGACCCACAGCCCGGGGTTGTCCATGAAGCTGTACTTAACTTGCAGCAAGGGAACATCTTCCCATGAAAAACTATCATTTAAAAAAAAAAAAAAAGCCATTGTTCCCTCCTGCCCACACCCTTGTCCAACCTGGCAGGGAGGTGAAAGCAACTAGCTCTAGTAGTGCTGGCAGTGAGATTAAAAAGAGGCTAGTCCTGCTTGGGAGAAGAACTATATTAAAAAGGGAAAAGACGCATGCTTGTCTTTTGTTTCCGCAACTGGTCCAACACCCACACCCCACGACCTACCCAGAACAGTCACCTTTTCCTGAGGGAAATGGCACTGCTTGTCTGTATATCAGGAAATGACCTTGTCTGGGTCCCACAATATATGCCCTTGGCCAACTGCAAATGGCTGCATGCATGTGCATGCCTTTCCCCCGCCGCCCCCAACCTAAGCTTCCCAGCCTGCACCTAAGCCTAGCTTATAGGGTGTCTTGCTCTCAATGACAGCTCTGGTACCCCAGGCCCAACGCTGTGCAAGTGACCAGCTCCTCCACCATTATTCATCTGAGATGCAGCCTGTTCCCTAGACTTCACACTTGTCAGGGGGACCCCCACACACACCAGTGCAGCAGCTGCCCCAATAAGGACATGGCCTGGCCTCCCCATATCTTCCAGGAGCGTGGGGGTCAATCACCTGTCCTCCTGGCATACACTGCACCACCCAACTGCTGTCTTCTAAAGGTCTGGTGGATGCCAGGCCTAGCTCAGCATGACTTTTATCTTGCTTTAACCATAAAATGAAAGCTGGAACCCAGTTTGTTTCCTTGTCGTTTAGCAAAACTTTGTTATACAAAAAAAAAAAAAATCACAAATGTCAACAAGTCTCAACCTCTGGCAGCCATCCAACCCTTCTGAAAATTAGTCCAGCACTATATGGGAACCTGAGAAAGCAAACCAGGTAACTCATAGAGCTCCCTGACCTCTCTCACCTTGTTTTCCGGGACAAGGCGAAGACCTGGTCAGCCTGTGAGGAACTGGACTTCAGCCTTGGTCCCACTGGGTGACAGCAGGCAGTGTGTGAGACTGTGGCAGAAGAGCACTAGCTCTAGGGAAACCCAGTGCGTGCCACAGAAGGAGCAATCAAAACGAGGGCCCTGTAGGTAAACAGAGCCAGGCTGCTGAGTGGACATATTTGGCAAAGAAGCAAGTCTGCTAATGATCATTTCCAGGGGAGGTTCGGATAACGAGGAAGGCAGTTCTGGTAGATATTTCCTGGGGTTGAGGAGGGCAGGGCACGGGGAATTAATATGAGCTCAGTTTAGCTTCTACCCCTCCTTTATTTGTAATGAGATTAACAGCAGAGATGGTAGCAGCACCATCAATCTACTGCTATGATTGGGTGAGCTGATAAAGCAGCTTTTGCACTGCCTTGCACGAGAGTCCAACGTCTCCCGCATATGGGGAAAAACACCAGAAAAACATCACTTCTCTCACACATGGCATTTTCTAAATGGCCTTGCTTTGCTCCCAGGTCCAGGGGAAACACATCGCACCGGACTGGCCAAGCTGCTCCCAGCAATGCTAGGAGCACAACTGAATTCCCACGGCGGTCCCAGCATCCCAGCCACTCCCTTGCGGTGTTTCTGCAGCCGTCGCAAGCAGCCAAGGCCAGCCTGAGAGCACCCAGCTAGGGCTGTGCCCTGCTTCCTGGGCTAGAAACGAGGCCACTGCTTGCCACCAGTGTGCTTTGAGCAGCTCCAGCCATTCTGAGTGCAAGAAATCAAACCAAGTCTTTTGACTGCAATGACCCAGAAACTGGAAGGGTGTGCAAGTGCCTGGCAGGATACCTCCCTACTGCTTGCAGTATGATGCCACACATCAAGTAACTGAACTTGTCTTGCTCTGCAATGGAATTGGAGTAGCTGTGTCCCTTCGATGTGGCATAGGAGACAGTTGCTGCCCAAGAAGCTGCCAGTAAAGGGACAGGTGTAATAAGATGCAGAGAAAGCAAAGCCACCTCCAGGTCTGGTGATTTGTTTACATTTACTTAGCTTATAGCAAAGGTTGAGAAGAAACTCTCTCATGAACATCCTCATAGCTTTTAAGAGAGGATAATATGAACCTCTGACAAGTTTTGCAAGGATCTTTGTCTAGCCTAAGGCAAGGTATGCTCACAGAAAGCCTAGAGCGACCTACAGGTTTATGTATGTCAGCTGCCTCTGAGCTAACAAAGAGCTTTGCCTGGAAAACTACTGAAACAAAAGCCCTATATTTTTAAATTCCTCTATTTTTTCACAGTTAACTGGACAATCATGGGCCATGTGTGCACATCCAGGGCAAGGCCTCCCCCAGCTGTTGAAGGACCC